TCAGGAATTCTGGGAGTTGAAGTCCACGAGTCATAAAAGAGCCAAGGTTGCCTACCCCTGAGCTAGGTTAAGCTGAAAGTAATTGACTGAAATCCAAAGCTTCCATTACCAGCTCCTTCGCCACTGCACAATCCAGGCTTTCGACTAAAGATGGTGATGTCCCATTCAGTCCTTCTCTTCCAAGTACAGAGATTTATCTTAATAACCGTAAACCAGGGGTCTTCAAACTCAGCCCTTCTATGACTCATGGACTTCAACTCCCAAATTCCTCAGCCAGGCACTGCTGGCTCAGGAATTCTGGGAGTTGAAGTCCACGAGTCATAAAAGGGCCAAGTTTGAAGACCCCTGCAGTAAACCAATCAAAACAATTGGAAACAGAAGCAAAAAGTAAATCAATAAAGTGCCAGTTGTTTAGGAAATGGACTTTCACAGCCAGCCTACTTCACTTGTTTTCCGCTTGTGTGAATGATGCCTATATGCTTCCAGCATATAGAAACTCATGAACCTAAATGCTAGAAATAAACATGGGTTTCAGTAAGAGTATAATGTTACAATTATACATGTTGCTTCTGCAAATTTTTACTTTTCTTGTCCCTTGCATTCCTCTTTTGTGTGTCATGTTTTGGTTGGATGCCTGTCATTAGTTGACAAATATATGCAATAAATCATCTCTTGTTTGGAAGCTGGGTAATTGCAGGTGTTAAACTGAAGTGAATAAAGCTTGCAATGCATTTTAGAAGAGAAGTGCTTCAGCACAAGCTGATGAAAGATTTCAGTTTTGTGGAATTAATCATGGGCTGATAAGATTCCCATCTACTTGCTATTTTATTACATATCCTCTTGAAGCTTAACTTAATGGACTGTTCACCACTGTGGCACTTTGCTCTGAAATTGGAAAACATTCATGGAATGTGTGTAAAACTTCTTGAACTTTGGATTCTGATTCTGACCTTCTGGTGGTGCTTTTAATGTTTTCGTTGACGATTATACTATGCAAAAAAAGACAGACAGCAAATGATGTCAGATGAAGATCCATGTTTGAAATGCAACACTAAACTTAAGGTCAACTTTCAGCCTATAAAGAGCAAATTAATTTTATTTTATTATCACCATAGGCAAACTGTTCTAATACAGTATGGGTTTTATTAACATATGCAAATATTGTAGGCAATATGAAAATTTTAGACAATTATCTATCAAATATCAATCTATTCCTTGCAGAGAGTCAAAAAACAACAACACATCAGTTACGACATACACAAACTAGAAGCATAAAACTGCTCATTAAAAACACACAATTCCCAAAGGGAAATAAACCCTTACAAAGTACAGTGAGTCATACAAACCATGATCTAATACAAATTCCTTCATAAACACAAGCTTTTCACAAAGGTCTCTGACAATGTTCACAATTAAAATAGAGTGTTGGTTTATTTTAAACCTATAGTTTCTAAAGTGTTAATTTGGAAGAAAACCCAGTGGATATGTACAGAAAACAACTTGTTTCAATGAACATTTGCTAGATACATTTTATTTGCTGAAAATGTTACTTAACATTTTCATGAAAAAGAATTGTGTATTGCCCCACAAACCTGTCTCTGTATCATGATTAAACTTAACGGTCAAGTCTCTATTCCTCATACTAAAATAAATCAGAATATATTCCAGGCAATTTCAATTCTGTGATTTGCACAATTTAAACAAACTCTCTCATTTGTTGTTAATTGTTTTACCCAATTTATGCTGATATTCCTGGTTGTGGGATATGCCTAGGACCTACACTCTATACATTCCTCTAACACAGGTCTCTTGATGTCATGTGCACCATTGGACATTATATAACTCATGTCATTTGCGTGATATTGTCATAACATGCCCAGCCCTCGCAATGCCTAGGGGTTCTAGGCAAAATACCCATTTCTCACATTCTTAAATTCTTAAATTTCTGCCTCCTGCAAAAACTACCAGTGAAATGGAAGGAAACATCCTATTTATGCTGCTGAACGGGAGAAAGGATTTGCAAGATTTGGCACGGAGTATTCAGGCTGTCGTCCCCCCTTCATGGATCACCGCCTTGTTTGGGTGAAGGGGCTTGTGCAGCTGAAAGATTTGAGCCAAGCTGTGCAGGGCCACTCAAGACAGATAAGTCACAGTGGAGAGTTCTGACAAAACCTGGTGCATTGGAGAAGAAAATGGCAACCCACTCCAGTATCTCTTGCCAAGAAAACCCCATGGACAGTACCAAAAGGCTAACAGATAAGACAACAGAAGGTGAGCCCCTCAGGTTGGAAGGATCCAATATGCTCGTGGGGAAGAGCAGAGGGCACTTATAAATAACTCCAGGAAGATTGAAGCAGCTGGGCCAATGCCGAAAGGATGTTTAGCTATGGATATGTTTTGTGGTGAAAGCAAAGTCCGATGCTGTAAAGCAGTGGTTCTCAACCTGTGGGTTGGGACCCCATTTGGGGTCGAACGACCATTTCACAGGGTCGCCAAACAACGCAGTCTGCCATTTTTTCTCCCCTTTTCCTTAGCTGTGCTACTCCCTTGTATTCTATTGACTTTTGAAAGCCAATAGAATAGACTCTCTTGAATAGAGCAGTGTTTCTCAACCTTGACAATTTTAAGGCATGTGGACTTCAACTCCCACAATTCCACAGCCAGCAATGCTGTGGAATTGTGGAAGTTGAAGTCCACATGCCTTAAAATTGTCAAGGTTGAGAAACACTGGAATAGAGTCTAATTCTATTGGCTTTCAAAAGCCAATAGGAATTGTCCAGGCTGTCTCTGCCCTGCTGAGTCCGCCAAAAGTCCCATTCTGCAAACGGTGCTGCACCAGTTGTGTAGTCCTCGACTTACGACCGGTTGAGTAGTCCTCGACTTACGACCGGTTGGGGGTCGCAGCATTAAAAAGGTTGAGAACCACTGCTGTAAAGTATAATATTGCATAGGAACCTGGAATGTAAGATCTATGAATCAAGGTAAATTGAATGTAGTCAGACAGGAGATGGCAAGATTGAACATCGACATCTTGGGAATCAATGGACAAGAATGGGCAAATTTAATTCAGATGACCATTACAGTATATATACTACTGTGGGCAAGAAAGCCCTAGAAGAAATGGGAGTAAACCTCATTTTCAGTAAGAGTTGGAAAAGCAATACTGGGATACAATCTCAAAAATGACAGAATGGTCTCGGTTTGAACCCCAGGCAAACCATTTAATATCACAGTATAATCCAAATCTGTGGCACAACCACTGAGGCGGAAGAGGTGAAGTTGATCTGCTCTTTGATGATCTACACCTTCTAAAACTAACACCAAAAAAAAAAAAAAAAGAAAAGATGTCTTTTTCATCATAGGGGATTGGAATGCTAAAGTAGGAAGTTAAGAGGTAACTGGAATAACAGACCAGTTTGGCCTTGGAGTACAAAATGAAGTATGGCAAAGGCTAATGGAGTTTTGTCAAGTCAATATGCTGATTGTAGCAAACACTCTTTTCCAACAACCCAAGAGGCAACTTTACACGTGGACACCATCAGATGGCCAATACAAAATCAAATTGATTATGTACTTTGCAGCCAAATAGCAATAGCATTTAGACTTATATACCGCTTCACAGTGCTTTACAGCCCTCTCTGAGCAGTTTACAGAGTCAGCATATTGCCCCCAACAATCTGGATCTTCATTTTACTGACCTCAGAAGGATGGAAGGCTGAGTCAACCTTGAGCCGGTCCAAATCAAACTCCTGGCAGTGAACAGTGTGTTAGCCTGCAATACTGCATTCTAACTATTGCGCCACCACGGCTCCTAAGATGGAGAAGCTGTGTACAGTCACTTAAACAAGACCTGCAGCTGACTGTGGCTCAGATTATGAACTTCTTATTGCAAAATTCAGGCTTAAATTGAAGAAAGTAAGGAAAAATCACTAGGCCATTCGGATATGACCTAAATCATATCCGTTATGAATATACAGTGGAGGTGATGGTTAGATTTAAGGGATTAGATCTGGCAGACTGAGTGCCTGAAGAATTGGATGGAGGTTCACAACACTGTACAGGAGGCAGCAAGCAAAACCATCCCTCCCAAAAAGAAATGCAAGATAGTGAAACGCCTGATAAGGCCTTACAAATAGCTGAGGAAAGAAGGAAAGCGAAAGTCAAAGACAAAAGGGAAAGATGACTGAATGCAGATTTCCAGAGAATAGCAAGGGTACATAAGAAGGCCTTCTTAAATGAACAGAACGGGAAAGACTAGACACCTCTTCCAGAAAATCGGAGGGAACGTTTCATGCAAAGAACAAAAGAATAAAGGACAAAAATGACAGGGACCTAAAAGAAGAGATTAAGAGATCAAGCAGAGGTGCCAAAAATACACAAAAGAACTAGATAAGACTTAATGTCCTTGATAACCACAATGGTCTGATCGCTGACTTCAAGCCAGGCATCCTGCTGTGTGAAGTCAAGTGGGCCTTAGGAAGCATTAACCAACAACAAAGCTAGCAAAGGTGACAGTATTCCAGCTGAGCTATTTAAAATCCCAAAAGATGACGCTGTTAAAATTCTGGACTCTATATGCCAGAAATTTGGAAAACAATGGCCATCAGATTGAAAAGGTCAATTTGCGTTCCAATCCCACAGAACGTTCAGACAACCATAAAATTGAGCTCCTTTCATATGCTAGCAAGGTCATGCTCAAAATTGTACAAGCTAGGCTTCGGCAGCATGTGAACAAGAACTACTAGAACAGTGGTTCTCAACCTGTGGGTTGGGGCCCCATTTGGGGTCAAATGACCATTTCACGGGGGTCGCCAAACAACGCAATCCGCCATTTTTCCCCCCTTTTCCTTAGCTGTGCTACTCCCTTTTATTCTATTGGCTTTTGAAAGCCAATAGAATAGACTCTCTTGAATAGAGTCTAATTCTATTGGCTTTCAAAAGCCAATAGGAATTGTCCAGGCTGTCTCTGCCCTGCTGAGCCCGCCAAAAGTCCCATTCTGCAAACGGTGTGGCACCAGTTGAGTAGTCCTCGACTTACGACCGGTTGGGGGGGGTCGCGGCATTAAAAAGATTGAGAACCACTGTACTAGAAGTACAAGCTGGGTTTCGAAGAGGCAGAGGAGATCAAAATTGCTAACAATTGCCAGATTATGGATAAAGCAAGGGCGTTTCAGAAAAAAGATCTACTTCTGCTTCATGGATTATGTTAAAGCCTTTGATTGTATAGATCAGACATGTCAAACTCACGACGTCATGTGACGTCACGCAACATATCGGGACGGTTTTGCCATTGCCAGCAATGGGGTGGCCGCAGTTTCCGGATGATGCATCCGGCCTGTGGGCTGGCAGTTTGACACCCCTGGTGTAGATCATGACAAATTGTGGCAAGTTCTTAAAGAGATGGGCGTACCAAGTTATCTTACCTGTCACCCGAGAAACCTGTATGGGGTTCAAGAAGCAACAGTTAGAGCTGGATATGGAACAACTGATTGGCTCAAAACAGAGAAAGGATGATAACAAGGTTGCTATTGTCTCCCTCCTTATTTAACTTATATGCAGAGTACATCACGCAAAATGCTAGACTGGATGAATCACAAGCTGGAATTAAGATAGTTGGGAGAAATATCAACAGCCTCAGATATGCAGGCAATACAACTCTAATGGAAGAAAGTGAAGAGGGACTAAGCCTTTTGATGACAGTGAAAGAGGAGAATGCAAAAGTTGGCTTGAAACTCAACATTAAAAAAACTAAGATCGTGGCATCTGGTTCCATCACTTCCTGGCAAATGGAAGGCAAAGAAATGGAAGCAGTGACAGATTTTATTTTGTTGGGCTCCAAGATCACTGTACATAGCAACTGCAGCCAGGAAATTAAAAGACACTTACTTCTTGAGAGGAAAGCCTAGATAGCATATTAAAAAGCAGAGACATCACCTTGCTGACAAAGGTCTGTGTAGCCAAAACTATAGTTTTCCCAGTAGTAATGTATGGCTTTGAGAGTTGGGTCATAAGCAAAGCTGAGCACCAAAGAATTGATGCTTTTGAATTGTGGTGTTGGGGAAGATTTTTGAGAGTCCCTTGGACTGTAAGAATATCAAGTCAATTCTAAAGGATATCAAATCTGATTATTCTTCGGAAGAACAGATACTGAAACTAAAGCTCAAATCCTTTGGCCACCAAATGAAAAGATTGGACTCACTGGAGAAGACCCTGATACTGAGAAAGATTGAAGGCAAAAGGAGAAGGGGACAACAGAGGATGAGATGGTTAGATAATGTCATCAATACAATGAACATGAATTTGGGCAAACTCCAGAAGACAGTGCAGGTATGGCCCATGGGGTTGCAAAGAGTCAGACATGATTTAGGGACTGAACAACAACAACAACATTTCAGGCTGTCAACTCTGAAGTGCAGGAGTTGGTTTAGAAATCTGTGATGGTATTTGTTCTTACATCTCTAAGTTGTTTAATTTTTAACACTAAGTCAAATGATGGGAAATATTTGCAACTCCTAGCAAGCCAAGTTGTTTAAAGTGATCTGCATCACTTAAATTAATTAAAGAGACTCAACTCATGTATAACTTTAAATCTATTTGAATTCTAAAGGAATATTAATGGAAAAATCCCAGTAACACAACCACACATGCAGGTCAGATCATCAAACTGTATAATCCATTAACCATATGGAAGTTGATGTAATCTCCACTTGTTTTTCCTTCTGCTGCAGATCCTTAGTTTCAGGGCATTTCTTTGCACTGGTCTGAAAATGTGACCACTGCATTTCTCAGAAAATATTGACAATGGGGTAAATAAAGCATCCATGGGGAGGGACCATCCTAGGAACCTACCAAGTCCCTTTATGGAGAGATGGAATATGCAGGAGCACTGCTCAAGCCTTGCTGCTACAAGAGTTGGGAAATACGCAGTACCTTGAGGACAGAAATAACTCTCCTCTAGTTATTTCAGGATCCTTGCAAGGAATGGAGAAGCAAGATAATCTGAACAAGCTGTTTCAGCTTGAAGGCAGGACTGCTGCACGAGAAGGGGCAATATAACATTCTGATGTTCACTTTGTGAGGAGGAACTGCCTGATCTTTGTGTGCAAGGCAAGATGTCTCCATGAAAGAAATTTTACCTTCTTTTTACATTACTTTACATTCTTTCCTGGTTCTACCCAAAGTATATACAATGTGTGTATGTGTGTAATTCTAGTTTACATTCCTTTTCCATCAGCTATTCTGCAGAAAATTGGTCAATGTTTTCAGCACAAATGCCAAAGGACAAGAGGCTTATACCGACAGGAAAAAAATATTTCCAGTAAAAACCTAACAATAATCTGCTAAACTGAATTGCTCTTCCGATAGTTATTAAATTGCTCTATAGAAATGGTGGAGCCTAATGGAATTTTGTAACAACAAACCATCAGCTATGCTCTTTCTTCAGATGATATTCCTTTCCTTAATCAACTTATTTCAGAATGCACAAAGCTTGCCCTCAATCCTGAACCTTAACCAAGGAATCCTCATGGTTCTCTTAACATCAGCAGGGTTCCTGAGGGATTATCAGTAATTATTAAGATTAGCCATTAGGCAAAGGCTAGCTTACATGAACAAATGAGATAATGGCCTGATTGGACAGGTAGAAGCTGTTTTATTGCTTTCACTTATTACAAGTGTTTCCATTTTTCTTTGATTTTTCCAATTTGGGGCCAGGATAAAGAGATGCTCTTTTCCCAATTCCCCATCTCCACAAGTAAGAGAGGCCACTTTGGTGTGTTCAGAAACTGAAATGTGAAGCTGCTACTTTTTCGCCCATTAAAATGATACTCTTTTCCCATTTCAAATTATAGCTTTTCTCTCACCTGTCTCCCAAAGAAGGAAATCCATGAGGACAAAGAGATTAAGCCAACCCATATTGTGACAATATTCACTAGATAACTTTTGGGGAAAAGTCACATTCTTATTTTGATCCTTACTTGTTGGCTTAAATGAGATTTAACAAATGGGGGAGAAAAATAAGTGTATCGGCCAACAGTTGGTGTTGTAGTATATTTTTCATCCCAGGTTGGATTTCCATGGACTTGGTCTTCCCTCAGATTCTTTCTTCTTTCAGGATGGATGTCCTGGGTTTCCAAGATATCATTTAAGTAACATTGCCTCACCTTGATCTCCGGATACCATCACTTGCCATAGGGGAGATTCAAATAACCCATCTCCTTGGACTCATTTTCCTAATCGTTCACGAACTTTCCATTGTGCTTTTCAGATAAAGCTGCTTTTTCTGGGCTGTAATGTTACCTCTTCCATCTTGAGGCATGTCAAAATATTATCTTTTCTAGGAAAAAAAAAAAGAGAACATACTTTAAATAATCATTTGTGCCGTTGGTACTTAAAAAAAAATTCTCATTTTTACCCCCTAGACTTCTGGTTCTGATTTGCCACTGACAAAATGTAACTACAGATGTGAATATTCCTTGTTTGCTCATTCCCAATAACACATCACAGTTGCATATTTTATTTGCTTCCTTTGTTTACTTGGGAACAAGCCCCATTGAATTCAGTTTGTAATTCTTCTGAGTGGATTGGATATGACAGAATTTAAGTATGAACTGTTCTTTTTTATCTACCTTAACCAATTTTATCACTTCCCTGGCTTCCTAACAGTATTAAAAACAGCTAGATATAATGCATGGAAGGTAGAGCAAAATTAAAATTATCTGCCTACCTGCTTGTTGCCTTAGACATGAAAGACTCTAGATGGCTTCCAGAATAGATTTAAAAAATGAGATTAAAATAAAGAGACAAAATTCACAATCAAGGACATGGTACCATTAGGGAAAGGTAGCTAACAAACATAGCTCTCACCAGCTACCAGTAAGGACCAACTGATTCAGCCCCAAGGTCTGTAATCTGGAAACCATGAGGGTAAGTCTCTGTCTCTGTCTCTCTCGCTCTCTCTCCCGCTCTCTCTCTCTCCCTCCCTCCCTCCCCCCTCTCTCTCCCTCTCCCTCCCTCTCTCTCCCTCCCTCCCTCTCTGTGTCAGGTTAGACTGGAAAGTTAAAATCCATCCATCCATCAAAACTATTTCCTTATTATAATTTTCCAAAGCTACATAGACGTATCCTTGAAGTTACTAGAAGTCTTCACTTGAAGATTAACCAACCAGTTAAGTATTTCATGTGCCCCTCTGTTCTTCTCTGAAAGGCCATCTTTAAGATAAAAACATGCAAACTGTAGAAGGATATTGATGACTACCAGACAAGGGAACTTGGATCTCAAGGAGGAACTGAATTATGTTCTGAATAAGTATGGTGTAGACTTATCCAATGGAACACTTCTTGAGAACACCTTCCTAAAGGAAATTAAGGTGCTATATCATAGGTGAGTTCCACCCCACTACAATCTGAAGTGATATAGCTCATACCAGTTCCATAACAGAGAACAGCAAGAAGGAGCTGAGGTCCATACATCTTAAAAGTTGTTGAAGTTGAGAAACACTGGCTTAAGCAAACAAGCTACAATTAGGAACATAGTACCCAACTAGGATAAGAGAAAGGAAAAGGAAGAGCAAGAAAGAGGGTTTAAAATATTGTATTTTGTTTACAGAAGGAGATGAAAATTCCTTATATCAATTTAAATTTTTTTTTCAAACATAACATTTTAAAGAGCGGGACATTAACAGTTCCCTGGTGAAAAAAAAGTACAATCTTTAATGTAAAAATCCATTCTAGAGAAGTACTCCACAGGGCATCTTGGGGAGCCAAAAAAATCAAGATGGTAGCCACAACTGTGTGAATGATGCCCCACCTCTTTAGGGTGACACATGACATGGTAACAGAAGTCCCAAAGGTATACAAGTTGGTGTTGTGATACAAGGGGCATTCCTTGTCATGTTCTGCAGAGGATCATGTCCTAAGGATTATATAGGTACATCTCACCTGACAATAATTAGGAATTTCTGTTGCTTCATAAATGCTGTAATGATTTCATGACGATTGACATCGAGGTCAACTGTAGAATTGCCAAGGCAAGTTCTGCATTTGGCAGATTGCAGACTAACGTGTGGGACCGCCGTGGAATAAGTCTTGCTACCAAGCTTAAAGTTTACCAGGCAGTAGTGCTAACTACTCTATTGTATGCTAGTGAGACCTGGACAGTGTACAGGAGGCATGTTAGGCAACTGAACTACTTCCACATGACTTGCCTTTGTAGAATTCTGAGGATCCGGTGCCAGGATAAGATACCAGCCACAGATGTCCTCTCCAGAGCAGGCCTACCATCAGTTTACACTCTGTTGATGAAAGCCCAGATGCACTGGGCAGGCCATGTTGTAAGGATGCCAGATCATCGCATCCCTAAACAGCTCTTCTATGGTGAGCTGTCTCAAGGAAAGCGATCGCATGGGGGACAAAAGAAGCGATACAAAGACACGTTGAAAGCCTCTCTTAAGTCCCTGGATATTAACACCATCTCTTGGGAACTTCTGGCGCATGATCGACCAACATGGCGCACCTTGGTGTACCAGGGTTGCCAGACATATGAACACAGAAGGACAATCTTGGCACAAGAAAAGCGAGCACTCTGCAAACCCAGAGCTGCAAATGCTGAAGTAACAGTGTCTACATTTCTTTGTTCAGTATGTGGCAGAACATTCCGTGCTAACATCGGTCTTATTAGCCGCCTACGGACATATCGTTGATGGCTCATAACCCACAAGATGTCAAGGTCTTCATCGAAATCGATGGACGAACAACCAAGATGAGGGGATAAAAGGAAAACTCATCAAATTTGCAGACAACTCCAAGCTATTGGGCATAGGCAACACTCCAGAAGATAGACTTAAGATTCAGGATTTCAACAGATTTGAACACTGAGTCCTATCTAACAAAGTGAGAAAAGTAAGGTTTTTACATTTAGGCAAAACTTCGCAAATATACATGTATGGAATAGGTGGCACCTGGCTCAATAATGATAACCATGAGAGGGATCTAGAAGTCTGAGTGGACAACCACTTAAATATGAGCCAGCAGTGTGCTGCAGTCCAGACTTCAAAAGGGATGTTGCTGCACTCTAGGAATTGTTTCCAAGCAAACTGCGTAAACTTTCTTCTCCCAGATTGCCCAACACATTTCCACCTTGGAAAGTTTGCACAAGGTGTATGCACAGGGTTGTAACTTCCCTTGCGAGTTTGTTTGGAGGAGCACAGCCCCCACTGCCACATTGCTGGTGTCTGCCTGAATGACAAATAGTTTTTCCGGCTATGACACCACCAAAAGGGAGAATTGCAGGCACTTAATAATTACAGACAGGGAGCTGGGATCCTACAGCTCTTTCCTCATCAGCTAATCAGTTGATGTTCTTCAGGTTTTCTGGAGGACTTCCTATGGAAGGGCACCACAACCTGAACTTGGCTGCCCCAGCAACTCCAGAAAGATAAATCAACAAAACAGATTTTTCTCCCACTTGTATCATTCTGCACTCATATTCAAAGGACAGACTTTGGAAAGCAATTATTTTCACAACCTGAAGCAGTAGGAAGCTTACACCCAAAAGTGTATAAAAAAATGACCAGGCTGATTTGTTCACTTCATTTACATTTATACATTTATATTAAGGATGACCATCACCGACTGCTTCCTCTTTTCACATGTAAAGTGAAAATGAAGTTAACCAGTTCAGCTGTCTCTGAAGAGCTTTTGAAAGCAAATGACTAATGTTCTCTTTTTGAAATTCAGTGGTTGTTGGGTGTCTCTGAAGATGACTAGGCTGGTTTCCAGGTTTACTATCAAATTAAAACAAAACAAAACAAAACAGAGCAAAGCAAGAGTTTTCAAACAACTCCCAATTTATTATAATTGAACATCAGATGTTTAGATGCCTCAAAAAATATAATAAAAATCGACGTATGGGCTACACGGTGCTGAGAGCGCCTTTGATTCCATGGAAAGGATTCTGCTCATTGGTTTGGCAGAATGGAAGATGATGTTTTAATTAGCCTTCATGAAATTTGCTATTGCCAGTGCCCATTTGTGCACTAAATCTGTGGTGCCAGAGGGTTCGCAAAAGGCCTTTGCTGCAAAGATAATTTTGAGATGGGAAGCTGCTGGTGTTAAAATGATTCTATTTTTTGGTATGACGGCTTTAGATTTACATGTTTAAACAAAGAGGAGATTCTCAGTTATGCAACTTAAAAACACATTAAAAGTAGTTGAGCTTTCCTTCTCCAAAGAAATGTTCCAAAGTGTCTCTTTAGAAGCTGTAGGTTTTCTGTCCACTACAGAGTCATTAAATAAAATAAACCAGCTATGTGTTCTGAGATGCTCCTTTCCCAACTAACAAATGTAATTAAAAGAGATTAGCTTTTATTAAAAAGCTGCCTCTCATGAAACCTACGCAGCTTATAAGGAAATGTTAGTGCTCCAGGCACATTTTTTAATCACCACAGACACAACTCTCCTTCTACAATAACTTTTGACAATCTTTTAAGTGCACACAATCACAGATATGTGACTTATTTATTTATTCATTTTTTAATGTTGCCCATCTCCTGTACAAGGTGACTGGACTTATCCTATTTAACATCCTGAAGTAAGTAAGATACGGGTTTTTCAGAGCTTTCTATCTCTAATTAACCTCTAATAATCCAAAGACTTCTAGATTTGGTCTATATGGTAACTCTAACTTCAGGCCCCAACTTCATGTAAGTCTTCTCAGGATAAGATAAGATATTTTTAGTCATATTGAGATGTATGGTGAAATAAGATGAATACTTTATTCCAGTGTATCTCAATATTTGGCAACTTTAAGATACTGTATATGTAGACTAACAACCAGAAATCCTGAACCAGCATTGGAGTAGATGGTGAAATTGACAGCTTGATTAAAGAAAAAAAAATTGACCAATTTTATTTCTACTTGGAAACCACTTTTGGGTTTTTTTTTTTACAAGAAACTGAAAGAAATTAAATGTTGAGTTTGAGATTTAATTGTTGAAATTATTTGTAGACAAATGTTAATCTTAGCATAAGAGTTTGTGTTATTTTTTTTCTTCATATCTGTACCAAGGAAAGCCAGAAGTCATTCTTTCTTCTATTTTTATAGTTTTTCCTTTTTTTGTTGCACCTGTTCTTGTTTTTTTTCCTTTTTAAATTGTTTTTCTTGTCTAATTTTTAAATTTTCTGTTCTGAAAATCAATAATTAAAAAAGAGAAACACTTGCTTTATACTACTGTTGGTATTAATTAAACAGCATGACCTTGGAGTCAAATCTGGATGTGGGCTGTTGGATACAAAGCTAATCTTTTAGCACAGACCTATCAAACACAAGGCCCGGAGC